GCGCTCCAATGCCATGAAGTTGCCAGTCAGGTCGGCGCGGAGGCGAAGATGCGGCGGCTGCGACTGGCACTGGGCCCAGCTGGACCTTCTATTACGTAGTCCTTCGGAATGTCAAAATAGAACTCCACGACTGGGTTGTCGAAGCCAATCTGGCGCCAATCTGGCAGGCCCCATCTGGCAAACGGGGGCAATCTGGCGAGGGAGCCAACGCGAATCCAGCCTGGCGAATAACCCAGATCATCCAGTCTGGCCGGGCCAGATTGGCCCTTGGGGCCCAATCCAATCTGACAGTCTGGCCTTCGACTACCCAGCACAAACTGCACCAGAATCTCGCCCCCCCTGCGAGCAGCGTGGTCCGCGCGTGCGAGATGTGCAGGCATCGGCGAACGAAACATCGCGGTCGACCTTCGGCGAGCGGAGATGGCCGGCTGGCCGGCCTGTCGGAGAAGCTGAAGTCGCCCATCCTCCTCCTCCTCCTCCTCCTCCCCTCCTCCCCTCCTCCTCCTCCTCCTCCTCCTCGTCCTCGTCCTCCGCCTCCTCCTCCGCCTGATGGTTGCTGCACGTTCGCAATCTGGCGTTGAGCACGGCCGGCACGCACCCGCTCTCCACGGCGTCAGGGTCGTCCGCGTGGAGGCCGCAGTTGTGGGCGCTGTGGACGATGAGGCCAGAAAGCCGTCGAAGCGTTTGTCGTCATCACGCTGCATCATCATCATCATCTGCATACGCAGTGCTCGCCCAAGGACCAAGCCCATTGGTTTGGCGACCTTCATATGTTTGCCCAGCTTCGGCACGAGGATTGCAATTCCTCCTGTCGTGCGCGATGGTATCGAGCAGGAAAGGTCGTAGCCTTGAAGTTCATGGGCGCGGTGCAGAGCTTGGCGTAGTTCTTGCTCTGAGTCGTGAGCGTCCTGCACAGCCCATAGCATTGACTTTTGCTCCCGCAGTCTTTGCGAGGTAGTTGAGCTCGGCGTCGCGCTTTTCATGGTCATCGTGAAGGAGAGCGCGGCAACTCTACGATACATATTGCGCAGGAGCCAGCAATCCATCTTCTACACCTTAACAACTGTCGACTTCGTCTCGAGCTTCCCAGGGACGCCGATATGTTCCAGGGGGCGAAGGCCGTGCTAAAGACGCCATGCGATGTCGGCGTCGTCGGGGGGCTTGGCGAAGCCCCCGAAGAAGTTGCAGACGGCGGCTTTGTTCATGAGGACAGCCGGGTTGGCTGTTAGTTTTCCAGCGGCCACACGATTCCACTATAACTGTGGTTTGTTGTCTGTATGTCTGCACACATTCACCCTTGCCACGACTAGACGTCTTGATAAAACGTGCCCGTATTGCAGCCGAGTCTCCAGCAATCGTAAGAATAATTGTTCTCCGGATATCCGTAAAGCTTCATGGCGAAGAGATACTGCATTGCTTGTCGAAGTCCTCTGTCGAGAGCAATGAAGATCGGCGTGTCGGCGTTGTTGGCGGCAGCAGGCGGTGTAAACCTTCTCCATGCACCATCTGAGTTCTTGAGCTTGGCAAAGTCTTTGCGGCACTTCGTGGCTGCTGTAGCTTCGTGCACTTGAAAATGAATTTGATGTTTTCCCAACCATCCTGTGGTGTTGGGTCCTCGTTCACAACCAACCTGTGTTGTGGGGTCCTCGTTCTGAAGAGACAGCGCCCCGCGTTCCTTCCTCCTCCCGCTTCTCCCTCCCCCTCCTCCCTCCTCCCCCTCATTGCCTCTGCTCTCGGCACACCCCTCACACGCTTCGTAGCCTCATAGCGAGCTCCACCGAAGGTCCCAATGTGGGTGCCCGCATGCGTCCCCCACGCCCAACACAGCGCTTCGTGGCCCCATAGGGAGCTCCACCGAAGGCCCCAATGGGGGTGCCCGCATGCGTCCCCCACGCCCAGGACAGCGTAGCGTGGCCCTATAGAGAGCCCCACCGAAGGCCCCAGTGGGGGTGTTCGCATGAGTCCCCCACGCCCAGGACAGCGTCTCGTGGCCCCACAGGGAGCTCCACCGAAGGTCCCAATGGGGGTGCCCGCATGCGCCCCCCACGCCCGGGACAGCGCTTCGAGGCCCCAGAAGGGAGCTCCACCGAGGGCCCCAGTGGGGTGCCCGCATGCGCCCCCCACGCCCAGGACAGCGCTTCGTAGCCCCATACGGAGCCCCACCTGGGGGTGCCCGCATGCGTCCCCCGCGCCCACGGCAGCGCTTCGTAGCCCCATAGGGAGCCCGAAGGTCCCAATGGGGGTGCCCGCATGCGTCCACCACGCCCAGGACAGCGCAGCGTGGCCCCATAGGGAGCTCCACCGAAGGCCCCAGTGGGGGTGCCCGCATGCGCCCCCCACGCCCAGGACAGCGCTTCGTGGCCCCATAGGGAGCTCCACCGAAGGCCTCAATCGGGGTGCCCGCATGCGTCTCCCCCACGCAGGACAGCGCAACCCCATATGGAGCTTCACCGAAGGCATCGGGGTGTTCGCATGCGTCTCCCCCACGCAGGACAGCGCTTCGTGGCCCCATAAGGAGCCCCACCGAAGGCCTCAATCGGGGTGTTCGCATGCATCTTTTCCGCGCAGGACAACGTGTCATGGTCCCTTAGGGAGCTCCACCGAAGGCCTCAATCGGGGTGTTCGCATACGTCTCCCCCACGCAGGAAAGCGCTTCGTGGCCCCCTAGGGAGACCCACCGAAGGCCCCAGTGATGATGTTCGCATGCGTTTCCCCACCCAGCACAGCGCTTCATAGCCCCATAGAAGGTGTTCGCATGCGTCTCCCCCACCCAGGACATCGCTCCGTGGCCCTATAGGGAACTCCACCGAAGGCCCCAGTGGGGGTGTTCGCATGCGTCCCCCCCCCACCCAAGACAACGCTTCGTGGGCCCATAGAGGGTGTTCGCATGCGTCTCCCCCGCCCAAGCCAGCGCTTCGTGGCCCCATAGGGAGCCCCACCGAAGGCCCCAGTGGGGGCGCCCGCATGCGTCTCCCCCACGCAGGACAGCGCTTCGTGGCCCCATAGGGAGCTCCTCCGAAGGCCCCAGAGGGGGGTGCCCGCATGCGTCTCCCGCACGCAGAACAGCGCTTCGTGGCCCCATAGGGAGCCCCACCGAAGGCCTTCATCGGGGGTGTGCGCATGCGTCTCCCCCACGCAGGACAGCGCTTCGTGGCCCCATAGGGAGCTCCACCGAAGGCCTCAATCGGGGTGTTCGCATGCGTTTCCCCCGCGCAGGACAACGCTCGTGGCCCCATAGGGAGCTCCACCGAAGGCCCCAGTGGGGGTGTTCGCATGCGCCTCACCCACCCAGGACAACGTTTCGCAAACCCATAGAGGGTGTTTGCATGCGTCCCCCCCACCCAGGACAGCGCTTCGTGGCCCCACAAGGAGTTCCACCGAAGGCCTCAATCGGGGTGATCGCATGCGTCTCCCCCACGCAGGACAGCGCTTCGTGGCCCCATAGGGAGCCCCAACGAAGGCCCCAGTGGGGGTGTTCGCATGCGTCTCCCCCACGCAGAACAACGTTTCGTGGCCCCATAGGGAGACCCACCGAATGCGTTGCTCACAAAAACGTACCACAAAGACGGTACTCACAACTGCATATGGCCGGGTCCTTCGCCAGGCTAATGTTTAAGAGACAGCGCCCCGCGTCCCACCTCCTTCCTCCTTCCTCCTCCTCTCCTCCACCTCCCTCCTCCCCATCCTTGCTTTTGCTCTCCGCATGTCTCAGCTCACCCCCTCCTCCCATCATCATCATCATCATCATCATCATCACCATCATCATCATCATCATCCTCATCATCAGCACCTTTATGATTACCTTCATCATCATCATCATCGTCATCATCATCATCACCATCATCGTCGTCATCGGCATTGCCATGGCTGATTCGTTTCGTGGCCCCATATGGAGCTCCACCGAAGGCCCCAGTGGGGGGGGGGCCACATGAACCCCCCACGCCCAGGACAGCGTTTCGTGGCCCCATAGGGAGCTCCACCGAAGGTCCCAGTGGGTGGGGGGGGCACATGCGCCCCACACGCCCAGGACAGCGTCTCGTGGCCCCACAGGGAGCTCCACCGAAGGCCCCAGAGGGGGGGGGGGGGGGGGGGCACATGCGCCCCCCACCGCCAGGACAGCGCTTCGTGGCCCATAAGGGGTGCTCCACGAAGGCCCCAAGTGGGGGGGGGCAACATGCGTCCCGCTGAGGGCTGAGGCTGAGCTGAGGCAGCCTGCAGCCTCAGGCTGAGGGCAGGGATGAGGCTGAGGCGAGGCTGCAGGCAGACTGAGGGCCTGAGGCTTGAAGCAGGCTGAGGCTGAGGCTGAGGCAGGCTGAGGCGGAGGCTGAGGCTGAGGCAGGCTGATGATGAGGCAGGCTGAGGCTGAGGCTGAGGCTGAAGCAGGCTAAGGCTGAGGCAGGCTGAGGGCTGAGGCCGAGGCCGACGGCCACACCGAGGGCTCACGCCCAGAAACAGCGCTTCGTGGCCCCAATAGGGAGCTCATACCGAAGGCCCCAGTGGGGGGGGGGGCACATGCGTCCCCCACGCCCAGGACAGCGTTTCGTGGCCCCATATGGAGCTCCACCGAAGGCCCCGGTGGTGGGGGGAGGCACATGCGTCCCCCACGCCAAGGACAGCGTTTCGTGGCCCCACAGGGAGCTCCACCGAAGGCTCCAGAGGGGGGTGCCGCATGCGTCCCCCACGCCCAGGACAGCGCTTCGTGGCCCCATAGGGAGCTCCACCGAAGGCCCCAGTGGGGGGGCCGCATGCGCCCCCCACGCCCAGGACAGCGCTTCGTGGCCCCATGGGGAGCTCCACCGAAAGCCCCAGCCGCATGCGTCTCCCCCACCCAGGACAGCGCTTCGTAGCCCCATAGGGAGCCCCACCGAAGTCCCAGTGGCACAGTTCGCATGCGTCTCCCCCACCCAGGACAGCGTTTCTTGGCCCATAGAGAATACCACCGAATGCGATACTCACAATGACGGTATTCACAACTGCATATGGTTGGGTCCTTCGACAGGCTAATTTCTGGCGGGCCCGTCGTCGGTACCACTCGAAAGGAACTTGTCCTCGTGTTCACCCTGAGTGCAAACATCTCGAAGCCAAGGCACGAAGGCGTCGACGAGCTTCTGTTTGGCGATGGGCGCGGACACGTTGATGCAGAGAAGGCTGGAGTCGGGCTCGCCATCGTATCCGGCAACAGCGGCTGCCAGCTCTTTCTGGAGGTCGTCGACAGTGTGTCGGAGGTCGTCGGTCTGTTGTTGCTGCTTGGCGAGGGCGGAGCGCATGTCGCCGAGTTCTCTTTCGATCCGTGAAAGTTTTCTGCTGCTTTGGGAAATATGGTTTGCTATGTTTTCGGCGCTACCTTCCGCAACTGCGCTGGCAGAGAAGCATTTGTGTTTCTCGAACGAGGCGTCGAACTGACCAGTGACCATCGTCTGAAGCTCGTCTTGGATGCGCGCGACAAAGCCCGCGTCGTCGTGAAGCTCCAATTCGGTAGCGCTGCTCGTACCTGGTGAGGATGCGCCGCGCGCCGCATGCCAGGAGAGTTCCCCGCAGCTGTGGTAGGGTTGTCTGTTGCGCCTGTTGATCGCCAGGGGTCTGCTGCTCCTTGAAGTGGCTTATGTCCGCGCGGAGAACGATTGGCCTTGTCCGTTCGACGTCCTTCAGCAGCTCCGGCAACTTCTTGTCTGCGCGGAAGCTTTGACCGGCGTTCCTGTACAACTGTCCCACGAGGAGTGCCCACACGACTGCCGCCACGAGACGCCATGACATCAGGCGCATGCCTCTTGAATAAGGAGCCCGCTGCGAGCTGCAGGCGCGACATGGAATGCTGCTCGCCCAGGAGCGAGCGAAACATGGAAGGACGGCACACCAGCAGGCGAGCGTCAGGTATGAAAGCAGTCCCCGACAGGGGTGTACATGGAAGGGGCTGGCCGCGGACTAGCGCTATTCACGTTGTCCCCAGGGCAATTAAACATCTTGAGCCAAAATGGCTACGGAAGAGGGGTAGGAGGAGGGAGAGGAGTAGAGGAACCATGAAGATAATGGAAATGAGAAGGAGAAGAGATGGAGGAGGAGGAGTACGAGGAGGACAGATGAGAAAGAGGAGGTGTCACACAAACAAATGTTCAGCGCCTGAGGCGCAGACAAGTGTTTCACCGCCTAGAGCGTTTGTGCGACACAGCCGCACATTGACAAGCTCGGCGACGTAATCGTGAAGCCACCGAGCTGGCCCAAACGCCGCGCACACGAGCGGAACTGGAGCGTCCACCCACGCAGACGGGCTGTCCTGCGAGAGATACCTAAGATAAATGGCGTCTTCCATATACAACTGGTCTCCTCCATGCGCTGAACACTGCGAGATGGACCTAGGACGCGATGTGTTTGGGCTTCCCTCGATTTCGGCATCCAGGGGGGGGGGCTCAAGGGCCCCCAGACCATCAAAAGGGAACCCAGGCCGAAAAACTACACATAGAAAGGGGTCGAGACTTCTGTGGCCGCCGAGTTGCAAAATCGATCCACAGGAAGCCTGGGGACGTTCCATCGCGAATGTCCTGGACCGCGTCAAAATTACCATCTTGGTATCCCCATCCCTCTCCCCCCCCTCCCCAGCTACACATGCTGAATTATTCTCTATCTCTCTCTCTCTCTCTCTCTCCGGACTCCGTCCGGAAGATGTCCGACCCTCTCCAGGTATATTCTGAACGACAGAATTTAAAGCAGTGTCTTGTTATCATGGCTTCTGTCAATCCGATGTTTCTCGGTGCTTCCAAATGGTGTTCCCGTTGCAGCGTGGGCCTCACTTTCGGATCTTCGATTTGCTCCCGTCGTTCAGAATGGCGCTCTCGCCCAAGCGAGGGCCTCCGAGTCCATTTGCATCGGTGTCGCCCCCCTCGTGTCCCCGGCTCCGCCTTCCCCTGTTCCTCCTGCTACACCCGCTCTTTCCAATCCAGTTCCTGCTGGTGTTCCAATCCACTTCTTGCTGCTATTAATCATCCTTGTCCTCCTCCTTCCTCCTCCTCCTCCTGCTCATCCTCACGCTCATTGTCCTGCTTACCCACCTCCTCCTCCTCCTCTTCCTCCTCCTCCTCCTCCTACGCCTCTTCCTCCTCCTCCTCCTCCTCCACCTCCTCCCATGTTCGCAGCTCCCTTCTTCAAACCGCGCATGACACGATGGGGCCTTTTGGGGGAGTTTCAGGTCGGCTATGACACGCGTCCACGGATGGAGAGAAAAACAGCGCAATGCGAAGGGATGCAAACGAGGGATCAGATGGCAGATGTGGCGCGGGCGCACCTAGCTTGTCTCTCACCCCCTCGCCGCTCTCCCCCTTCCACGACCTGTCTCCTCCCCACCCCACCCCACCACACTTTTCCCTCCCTCTTGCTGTCACCCTCCCCTCCTCCAGCCTGGTGGCAAGGAAAGAGGAAACGGAGAGGGTAAGCGGAGGAGAAGGAAACTGATGTACGAGCGTGCGCACACGCGCGCGCGGTCCATCTGGCGGCCGGGGCGCGGTGGCTTGTTGCTCAGGTATTCTTCTTACGCACGCATCGTAAAAGTCTGCGCCGCCGTACTCCTCGCCTTGTGTGCACCAATGGCCGAATCGGCAAAACCTGAACCCAAAGAAGCTGACGCCTCACCCGTACCTCTGCCGCCCATCGCTGGCCTTCCGCCGGCTACCGCCGGCGGACCCGCCACCGTTGTTCTTCCGCCCACTTCCGCTGGCCAGGCAGGGCAAGAGGAGAGGGCGTGTCCAGGGAGTCGATTCTGCCTGCGCGTCAGTCGTCGCATGATTGCCCCCTCCCTCTCCAGGCAATGCCGTGGGAAGTCACCACCAAGGGGTTCGCCAACTCCTCGAGGAAACGGCCTCGAGGACTTCCGAGGACACCCAGAAACGCCCCAAACACCTCGAATCTCCCTCATCCTCGATCTACGATTTCAGGGAAGGAAACGTCCGCCACCATGCCGATGGGCACGGAGTGGGCGTGTCCTCGCGTCCTTTACCTAATCCTCTGAATCTCACTCCTCATTCTGAAGACTATGTAAGGACCCCTGACCCTTTGCTCTCAAATCTCCCGCGGCTTGGCACGTGACCCCATGGGGCTTCCCACCTAGAGCTTCCCGCGTGTCCCCTGGGCTTCCCCGCATCTTGTCGCATGACTTCTTCGGCCCCAAATTAGCCTGGCGAAGGGCCCAACCATATGCAGTTGTGAATACCGTCATTGATAGTATCGCCTTCGGTGGATCTCCTTATGGGGCCACGAAGCGCCTGAAGAGTGTGCCGAACTAAGGCAGGGCGGAGCTCCCTATGGGGCCACGACGCGTGTGAGGGGTGCGCCAAAATGGGGCGGCGCCGCCATGCGGACTGCGCCACCGTGACATTAGGTGGAGCTCCCTATGGGGCCACCAAACGTGTGAGGGGCGTGCCAAAATTGGAGTGGCTACTCAGGCCTGCGGGCCGCTACACGTTTCAGATCAGTTCCTGTCCGATGGCCTCGTCGGGCTCAGCGGCTGCCTCGACCGAGCAGGCGGGGAGCCCTCCACGCACGGTGCCAATCAAGAAGACCGGGATCCATCAGCTCAGAGGGTCTCTGGCGACTCTGGTGAGGGAGGCTCGAGCGCTGCAGGCACGCCAGCGAGTCGGCAAGAAGATGGTCCACGTGAGCTCATCAGACTGGGAGGCGGTCGGCATGGAGGCGGACTGCGACACGGACCCGGAGATAGATCAGAAGGAGTACGACGCCGGCAAGACCAAGCTGCCTGGCACGCTTCCTGCATGGCATCGCGTCGTGAATCGGCTGCTATACACCGCTGCGATCAAGATGGCCATGATGACAGTCAACCAGCTCTGCGGCGAGCCGGTGCCTTAGGAGGCTCTGGAGTGCGACCATCCTTCCTGGGCGAGGCGCGAGGGGGCCAACCAGTTCGCGAAGTACGAGCACTCCAGGAAGTGCCAGACAAGGCTGTGGATTGAGAGGCGGTCTCGCCAGGAGCAGACTGAGCTGATGGATCGGGTTTGGCAGCGTCGTCTGGACCTGGGCAATCGGAACGACGCGAGGATGCAGGCCACGCTGCTAACGGTCAAGTCCCAGCTGGTCTACCGCAAGGAGAAGAGCGAGAAGCCCCAGAAGGCGAGGATCGAGCCGGTCGAGGAGGCTTCGGGGGCGGTGGGGCACTCCGAGATCGCCCGAGCCCTGCAGGAGAACAACAAGATGCTCGAGCAGATGGCGGAGGCCCTGAAAATGCTCGCGAAGCGCGGCTGAGCACCTCGGACGCGCTCGGCTCTGAAGGGGATCGAGAGGAAGGGGCAGGACACCAGGGGAATCTAAAGCCAGTGGGTTTGGGGACCCTTAGGAGGAACGAGGAGGGAGGAGAGGGTACAGTCGGGGCGTTGACCTAAGGAACCCTAAGTAAGGAACGAGGCCCCTTCCCCCCATAAGTTGAACCTCCATTTCCCATGGGAAACCTCGGGAAACCCGAAGGCAAACTGCAGAACAATCAAGGAACACCGAGCCCCTCCCCAACGAAAAGGGTTCCTTCTTCAGGGCCCCGACTGTAACCACGATCTCGCTTGGCGATCGGCTCGCGCTGCCAGCCGAGCAGCGGGCACGAGCCTCCTGGTGGGACGTCGAGAGGGAAGCGCTCGGCCGATCTGGATCGGATCTCGATCGAGGCTGGGTTCACTCCGAGTTGATAGGGGGAGAACAAGCATGCCTCGCTTTTGGCCGACCTCGTTTCTCAGAGGTACCAAGCGATGCCAGACTACGGCCTGTGCTGGTCAGGTCGCTCGGCGAGGAGGCGCGTGGTATGACTTGGTTTTTCCTGGAAGCGACAGCGGGGTAGGTAATTCACGCTCTGAGTTGAGCCGTGCCGAGAAGAACCAGATTTGGGTCCATGCGGCGATCTGCCTCGTCCGAGGGTCCCAGGGGCCAGGTTTTTCGGGATAGCGTTGGCAAATATGCTCGACTGCGGTTTCTAGATCTAGGCGTTCCCCTTTCAGACTCCCTCACTCCAGACCTTGCGCCGGCCCGGTTACAGCGGATCGTCTCCGGCACGGCCAGCTACTACCTGACAGTCGAAGTCGAGGCCCAGAGCGGCCCGGAGGACTCGGACCCATTCGCTGGCATTCTCTCACTGGGATCTTACTCCGTCCCAGTTGGCCCGAAGGCTGAGCAAGATCTTAGCATATACGGTGCTCGCTCACGAAGTCGATGAGAGAGGCCGCGGGGAAGCTGTCAGCCGGCGGAGGCAAAGAGCAGGGCCGCAAGGCCCGAAGGAGGCGGATCCAGCAGTGGCTGAAGCGTCTTTCCCCCCCCCCCCGCGTGTGCAGGGCACTTCGTGAACAAGGCTATCCCACTTCCCCGAGCATGGATCTCAGCTTTGGTTGGGATCCATCCTCCGAAAGCGGACAGACGGCGGCCGTCAAGAACATTC